AAGAAGAGCAAGGAGGCCAGAATGATGGATTACAGTCAGTGAAGGGCAGAGTGTAGGAAACTAAGTCAGAGATGGTAGTAGTGGCAATTGAGGTGGGGGGTCCAATTACACAGAGCCTTGTAGGCCATGGAAAAAGACTGGATTCTAAGGGTGCTGGGAATCCAGTGAAAATTGAAAGCAGAGAAGTAACATCTGAAATGAGCCCTCCGAGTGCTGTATGTAAAACGAACTGCAAGGAAACCAGTGGAAGGAGATATGACTGTGGTAGCCCAGGCAGGAGGTGATGGTGGCTTGGACTAATGTGGTATCTACGGAAAAGGAGCGAAGGACTGGGATTCAATACCTATTTTGAAAGTAAAGCCTATAGGATTTGCTGTGAGGTTGGATGTAGGGTGTGAGAGGGAGAGAAGCCTCAAGGACGAGGCCAAGGTGAGTGTATTTATTGAAATAGGAAGTCGTAACAGATTGTAACAAAGGGATCTGTTTGTCTACAGATACTTCCAGGGCAGGAAACACGCCCTATTGACTGCTGTCGCTGGCATCTAGAGTAACACCTGCCTGAACTCCAGTCAGTGTTTTGCATCAGGTACTTTATAACTGTTTCCTGAGGCATTCATGCTGATTGTCTCCTGACTTACAGGGAGCCCCCACATAATTGATGCGGGATAAAATACACAGCTCTGAGTACAGATCTGCTGAATGCAAATCAAGTGCTTATTCAAATCTAGTTTTAATTTATACATTATAAATGGTGTTGTGATCTGCTATATTTCCAATAATGCCAACACACAAACAGTAAATCTGTGACTATGACTAAAATTGGCTTGTACTGAAAAACAGCTTTCCGGATAGAAAAAAAGAAATTTTTAGCACTTCAAAAGGGAAATACTACTTGCCATCTTTCCATTCTCGGGTAGCATGATGTATGAAACCAAAGAGTTCATCTGTTGTCACAGCTTTAGGGTTTAAGTCATTCCAAACGGGTTTCTGTTTCATGTTAACATATGTTCGGTTCAGTGTTCTCAGAATCTGAGTGGAAGAAAGGAAGAGTCAAAAAAAAAAAAAAAATTAATACTAATGTAAGCCAAATGGAAAAGATTTCTGAAGGAATTTCCTTATTCATTATATGTTCCTAGATATTCTATGTGTACTGAGAAGGGAAAAATGCACACATGTGCAATTCCATGACCATCTTGAAAAGTTTAATCCCACAAACCCTTAGGGAGGCACAATAAGTTCTCCTGATTCTTTGAACCATTTAGAATAAAGAAAGTCACTTTATCATTTGGAGTTTTTAACCATGTGTGCAAAATGAAGGACTATATTTAAATAAGCATTCGTGTTCACGCTTATAAAATCTACTCTGCCTGAATCATTAAGATCAGTTGTTCTCAAAATTTAGCCTACACCAGAACTGTCTGGATGGAGGGTGTTAAAACACACATTTCTGGGCCTAATCCTGGAGTCTTTAATTAAGTAGGTGGTGGGGAGGGTGTGGAAGGGGCTGGTAATGCACATTTCCAACAAGGGCCCAGGTGATGCCAATGATGCTGCTTGGCACGTGCTCCCAGACCTAGTGACCGAGAGCAGTGCTCTCAGCAGGAGACTGTCTTGACATGGGGAAAGATGGGATGTGCTTCTGGACACCTAATGGGTAGAGGCCAAGGAGGCTGCTAAATATCTTACAAAGCACAGGAGAGCCTCCTACAACAGACTCAGTCTAGAATGTCAATAGTGCTCAGACTGAGAAACCCTGATCCAGATAATTGGGGAAAAGAAGCCTTGAGGATGAGAACTCAGAAGTGGGCATTCGATACATGTTTAATTCATCAACACCTTAACCCAAATATCTGCTCCAAGGCTCCCTTTGGCTTTCTCTGAAAAGCCATAGCTTTTGTTTTAGATATTTATCATCCTGACCTACTCACAGGAGCTTTGAAGAACTGATAAACAATTGTCAAATACTTTGGAATGATAAGGTACTAAATAACATGGCCCTGAGCTTCCATGCTCTAGTTATATCAGCTTAAGTACATGTTGAATAGAACAGAAGCGGTGAAGACTAGATGAAAGAAATTAAATGCCTTAGGAATATTAAGCTTATATTTTTAGAAACCATTAATCTACTGGAAATTACAGAATTTAATTTTATCCTTCCTTGAACCATGGCCTACATCTGAAACTTACTCTAACGAAATAATTACAGGTCTATCAGTTACCTACTTTAATATTTCGATTATTATATTTTTCACTAGAAAAATGTCTAGATAGAGGCTCCCTTTACAATGATGCCACTTTGGGTTCTGATCTAAATACTGGCATGTTCTATATACACCCGTGCTCTAAAATCTCATATGCCCATTCTGATTATTTTTAGTTGTTGGCTACCAAATATGTTTATACCCAAGCATCCTGAATTAAAATGCATGCAGTTCTGCATATACCGTCTGCCAACCAAGAAAATAAGTATGTTGCCAGGACTGTCAGTAAGACCAAACAAAATCAAGCAGTGAACTAAAAATGGGGATAATAACACCCATAGCATATCATTGTTGTGCAGAGTAAATCATATATAACGTACCTAGCACAGCACATAATAGGTACCTAAAAAATTTTTGCCATCTCCTTTTCTTTGCAAGTTTTGTTTTGGCCCTATGGAGGCTATATTTCTGAGGGAGTACTGAAGGAAAATATTTGGGTTTTTTTTTTTTCTTAATGATATGGGAGGGGGAATTTAGTATGACTTAGAAAAGATGAGAAAGTATTTTTGATAAATGTGGATAGAGCCAATCAAATTCTGTAAGCCAGATACCTCATTCCACGGTCTCTTAATATGTTTATCATTGATAAAAGAATTGAAGCATGATTATATAATTACATATCCAAGGTGCATAGAGTAGGATAGCATACATATAAATGCATGAGAAGGATGCTAAATATCTCATGTGGAAATCCCAATCTTGATCCCGGCTTACTTTTCCTACATGAATGCAATGTTCTATTTGTTTCTCTTTCTCCCCCCGCTTCCCAATATCAAGAAAAATAATGTCGACTGATCAAACAGCAATTTTAAGGTCTCAGATTCTAATCCAAAATTATGGTGGGCTTCACTGAAGGGAACTATTTTAAGTAGCACTGAAAATAGTCCAAAAAAAAAAGAAAATGTTCATTCCATGGCTGAAAACTATTAAGCAATTTACTATACCTTACTCTTCCCCGTGCCTGCGTTTCCAACCACAAAGACAGAGTGCCGCACAGCCAACAGTTCCTCCAGCTGAACAACCTGCAGAGCGAACAGCCGGTCACTAGCTTCCTTTAACGAGTTGGTGACAAAAAGGCAACCGACCCATTTTTGTCCAATTCTTCTTTCCTTACAACTTAAGCCAGCCCCCACTGACAACAGCATGTTCAGGGAAAGTTAAAATAGACCACGAGTGCAAAGTATAGTTTTTCCTGGATCTCCCACATAGGACCCAGAGAAGAGAATAAAGTAAAACCATTATTTTATGTACTACTTGGTGCATGGCAGTGGTTACTTAAAAAAAAATCATGGCTCTTCATGAAGTTTTGAATAAAAACATTACATGGCCAATTATTATCTACAACTGAGCAATGATCCACGCCCTATAAAATATCTAAAATGGATATTTTATTTGTATTTTAATGTCTAATGTATTCACTAAACTCAAATTGAACATTAATATGCACAAGCCTTTGACATGTCAGATAATATCTTCTGAAGTTATTCTCAGACATGCTGACATTCCTCCCCCATTAAAAACTTGCACTAATGATTTTATTTCCAATGTTCTCTAAAAAGGAGAGGAAAACAAAATAAATTTTTGGTGCATGTCACGAAAAAGAACCAAGACATTTTAGAAACTAATTAAAAGTATGCTTACACTTAAAACCATGCATATCTATGTTTTCACCTTCGCACAGAATGGGACTACTCCAATATTTACCTACATTTACTTAATACAGCCATGTTAAAATGCTTGAAAGCATATATTAAGATCTTACTAAGGTCAGTGTAACATTAATATAAGTTAATGTCTTGGTTTAGTATCACTTAACCACAGTTATTTCCACTGCAAATCCCAAGGGCTGCCGTGAAAAGTAAACGCTGCTTTTACTTTGAGAATAAAGCTCTCTTCAGGCTGCAGGCGGAGCTCCAGGGTAGACTGCCTGACCATCTGTTCAAAGTGCAGCCTCCTACTCCGGGGCACATCCAGGGCTGGAAACAGGTCACCAACCATGCCCAGAAACACTGGGATGTCGTCAGTCACTATTTTAGGCATATTGAAATCCCTTAATGCTCTCATGAGTACCTAGAAAGGAAAACAGAAAACACTTCATTAAAAAGCCAATTCAAGGTCTAACAAACCCTTAAAAAAGGTGATATTTTTTATATATCTTTTTTTATTTGTATACATTTATCGGATACAAGTGCAATTTTGTTACATGGCTATATTGCACAGTGGTGAAGCCAGGGCTTTCAGTGTGTCTGTCACTGCAGTAAGGTACACTGTAGCCACTGAAGATGTTATTTTTAATCTTCGTATCTAAAGCATGAGCTTTGGCACTGTTCTCTAGTAGGATGGCATTCTAAGGGGAGGTTAAACATTTAAAGTTAACATAGGAGAACATGAGAAAGCTGAACTGAAACATGGACAAACCTCAGGATGAGGTCAGCAAGGAGGCCTTTTCTCCCTGCCAATAATCTGTTTTGATTTTCAGAAAGGGTCTGAGGCCCTTCTCTCCTTAACGCTCAAACTCCAGAATTTAAATCAATCCAGCCTATCAGATCCTTTTGAGGTACTCTGAAAATCTCAGAACAATAATCTTTTTTTTTTTTTTTTTTTTTTTTGAGACAGAGTCTCGCTTTGTTGCCCTGGCTAGAGTGAGTGCCGTAGCGTCAGCCTAGCTCACAGCAACCTCAAACTCCTGAGCTCAAGCAATCCTTCTGCCTCAGCCTCCTGAGTAGCTGGGACTACAGGCATGCGCCACCATGCCCGGCTAATTTTTTTTTTTTCTCTCTATATATGTATTTTTAGTTGTCCAGATCATTTCTTTCTATTTTTTTAGTAGAGACGGGGTCTCGCTCTTGCTCGGGCTGGTCTCGAACTCCTGACCTTGAGCGATCCACCCGCCTCGGCCTCCCAGAGTGCTAGGATTACAGGCGTGAGCCACCATGCCCGGTCAGAACAATAATCTTAAAGTTTTGAGTTGTGGTTTTTGTTCCACACTGGCTGTACACTGAAGAGGGCTTTAAACGTGAAAAGCAATCATTCGAACATCAGGATGACTTTTACAGAAAGAGCTAGAACATTTCCCTAGTAGCTCTGAACAACCAACCGAGCATTTCACACATGTCAGGGAACCAATCCTCCTGTTTCAGCCTTCATGCCCCACTCAGGTCCCATGAAATGGATGTACTCTCTCCCATCAAGCTATGTCTTCACTGACTTCAGGATTAATATCCCAACTCAATTAATCAGATTTCCTAAATGTTTCTCAGAGGAAATCAAACCACGGTTACTGAATTATTTGATTATAACTGCCAAATACTTTTTGTGTCTGATATTTGACAAGTACTTAAATTGCATTTTCTTTTCCAGATTCCTATCTTTGTACTCAAGAACACTTGTGACCTCTAATAACATAAGAAATGCCAGTCCTCAAAATATTCTGTGCCAACAATAGATGTTATGTTTTTTAAAAGTCACGCCATACAGACCCACTATCCAGGTATGTATTTTAACTTACAGGATACCGTTTAGCTAGTCACTCAACAAAATCATATTAGCATTGCAGTACCTGATCTTCAGGTCTATTTTTATCTCCTCGTTTCAGGGAGCCAGCTACAACCAAGACAGATTTAATAGCACGAAGTCCCCAATCATAATGATCCTAAAATCAAAACATAGGTTTATTTTCTCAAGAATTTTATGAGGGAATACGATTCTCATTCCAAAAGTGAAAGCTGAAAGTTAAAAGAGTTGATAAATACACACTTTAATGGTTCAAAATAATATTTTCTTCTCCTCTTTAAAATTGTGACAATCACATCCCTGTAGTGTCCTCCTGCTTCTTTTGCCTGTTTTTCTGCCCCCATCAGCAAGTCTCTTCTATCCATGGTATGCACCGCAGCCTTTGCCCACGGCTCCATCTGCCTCCCATTCTTTCCTCTCAACAGACCTGCTAAGTCAGGGGCTCGACTGCTTCCAAGCAGAAGCACATTCTCCAGTTGTACACCTGGGGCCCTGGTATTCTTCCACCTCTTCCCTGGCTTCGCTAATTGCCCTAATTACTCTACCTCTTAATCACTCAGACACTCCTGCCCTGATGCTGGCACTTAATATAATAAAAGCCTTATTATTAAAATTCAATTATAAACCAGCACCTCTTAGAGACTCCCCCATCATCCCTAATGAAGACTACTCCCACGGCTCCCAGCTCCTGCAGCTTACTCACTTCTGTCTTCCAGTTCCTGTGGGGTAGGTGCTCAGTACAGGTGTGTCGCATGTGAATGCACTCATTGTTCACATGGGATTGGCCTTCTCTCTTTTGCTTACCATCTACAATCCACACAGTGACCCTTCTCTCAAATGTCTCTCCGCTGTGTCTGTGGGACAGTCACTTCCCTCTTCAGAGCCTCAGAATCATCGTTTATAAAAAGGCAGATAAAAGCGTCCACCTACTTGGTAGGTGGTTGTAGGAGTAAAATGAGTTCATGTGAGTACAAATGCTTTGTGGGCAGTGAAACAATACATATGTATATAAATATGCCATTTAATCCATTAGTGGATCATAAAGTCGATTTAGTGGGTCCTGACCATCATTTCTGTTGGTAATAAAATAGAGCTGAATGAAATGGAAAGCACCAAGTGTGATGAAAACAATAAGGGTAAGAAGTGTTTGGCAAAAATGTGTGGTTTGCTTGTGCATATGCGTATGTGCATGTGTGTATGTACTGCATCTCAATAGAAAAAGTATCTTTTACTGTGGGTCATGGTAAAAATCATTTGAAAGCCACTGGGGCTTGAGGAGGGAAAGAGAGGGGGAAGAGCCAGAGTTTGGAGGGCCAGGAGAACAGAGGGGTTAAGTCCTTACAGTGACTATTCAAGGAGATGATGCAGAAGAAATTCTGGACACAGATTTAAGAGGACTTGGTGAACTTCCTCAGCATTTAAATGTTGCAAACACCTGCAAAATGATCTTTACTGTTTTCATCATATCATTCCATTGGTCAAAACTGTCTACTGATTTCTATCCCAAATCCATCCCTATAGCACAGGAAGGTAACAATGAACTCTGTTCCTAACTCAGCTCTTCTGTGCTGGCCAGATTGCTTTTCCATCATCTCATTATTCATGATATTTCTCTGAGCTGGTGAACTCTGTCCTTCCCTGTTCTGCCTTTACTCCCAACACCATCCTCTTGTAATTGGCTACAGGTGCCCTAGAAGGATTGGAAAGAACAGAAGTCAAATCTTGCCTCCACCACTTGTTAGCTATATGGGCTTTCGACAGGTTGTTTCACTCAGTTTCCTCATCTGTAAAACAGGGATAATAAAGAGCAAACTCACAGACTTGTGAAGATTTTAGAAACGTAACTTATGGTACCTGTTCAATAAACATTGTTTCCTTTCTTCCTTGAAAACCCTGGTAATCTTTTCATCCTCCATTTTCTTCCAATTTTTCTTTCATGTAACCTGAATTCCCTAAGTTCTTTGAAGTCAGAAGTCTGGGTGTTTGCTTCATTTGTGTTGGGTCTTTCCCCATTCATCATGGTCAGCAATAAGCAGATTACTTGGATATAGTAGATGCTCACAAGTGTTTAAATATTACTAGTGGGAATGAATACAG